AATTTAGTGCTGAAAGCCCTAAAAAGAAAAGGAGACGACGTATTTGGACAAAGACATGGCTGAGCTAACGTGGCTACTAAGGTCTGACAATTCTACAGAAAGAACTCCATTTCACTCATTGCCCCCCCGCCATGCTGCTGGGTTTTCAGAGGAAGAAGAAGAATCCTTGTTTGCCCACTGAGTGATTTGCCCACGTCCACCTTATGACGGCTGACTGAATTTCAAACATGTTTGATTTTCTGCCGATCTCACCTGATGGTGAGGTGGTGGTTAGAGGCTGATCGCCCCTCGTTACCCCCTGTTCACTACACACCATCAGGATGAAAGTCAACCTGATCGGAAAATTCTCTCATTACTGTAAAATCGTCCCAAAAAGGGCAAAATACTCCCGGGTTAAGGAGGAATTGTAGGTGACCAGCCAAGGAAAGTGAGACATTTTGAATGGCTGCTACTGTTTTGTGGCTGTTGTTTTGATGGGGCTCGACTTTTTTTTTTATTAAATGTAATTAATTTTAAATAATTTAATTAAATTAGTGCTTTATGGTCCAATGATGAAAATTCGAAGCAATGTTTCCAAAATTCTGAAATTCAGCATAAAAGGTTGATGAAATCACCTGATTTTAGGATTTATTTAACGTAAGCCTTAAAAACTTGTTTGTTTTATTGACGTATCTTGGAAACAGATTTAATTTTGTGTTTTCAGTAAAAGAAACAAAAGACAATCACTTGTTACTGGGAAGGCCTGGGAAAACCTTCCAGGTTCGGCCGTCTTACCTCCAGCGAGCTCATGGACAGCGTGGACACAGTTTCACTCTTGGACATCACGCCAGAGTTGCCAGACTCGCCTGCATCTGCCAAGCTTCTCGCTGTGTGTGAGTCTCTGGCTCCGCCCTGCAGGTTATGAGCCGGCGAGTCTCTGTCGGAGCACGACACGCTGACCTGCTCGGTGGGAAGGCTCTTGAGCCCGAAGCCGGGGACAGGTTCTCCGCTGGGTGGGTTGGCCAGATGGATGAGCCTGCTCTGAGGGAGCTGCTCCATGGTGGTGTTATACTTGGCGCTCTGCTCGTCTTTAGCCTTGGCAGCTTTCAGGGTCCCAGTGTTGTTGGTGGGTAGAATGATGTAACCCGGACCTTTGCCAGCGCCGTCGGAGCTGCTGCCCTCTCCGTTCCCTCGAGGCAGATCTCCGTCCAGCTGCTTGAAGAGCTCACCGTCGCAGATGTAGATGGATTTAGCTCCTGGGAGCTCGGTGCTGATTCCCTTGGTGGCGCCTTTCTCCCTGCGCAGCGTCAGCGTGTGGCTGGAGTAGTCGGCCACATTCTGGAGGTGAACCTTGGCCATGCTGGCTGGCATGGTGTTGAAGTTGGATCCTTTCTGCAGGGTGAGGGTCCCAGAGGAGGCCTTCTCCTCCCCCTGGAGGGATGAGCGCTTCCCTGTGCCTGGAGACAAAGCAGATGGAAAAAAGGTCGGCTGCAGCAGAAATACCAGCAGCATTACAGGGAAAACCTCAAAGATAGGTTAGATAAGATGGATCAAGACGAAGCAGAGAACAGCAGTTGTATAGAAAGAAAAGCTGCTCCATAAAATGAAATCCAGTTTTAACGTCAATCTTTAGTGATTAACCTCCACCAGCTTCTCACATCTAGAGACTTTTTTCTTTCCTTCCAGTCACGGCACACAGAGATAATCTCAATCTCTATATCATGACACAGATTTTGATTTGGACTTTGACTAGGCCGCAGTGATTTGCTTTGTGATATTGTGCTGTCTGAAATTTAAAGTTTGTTCCAAAGGTTTGATTCCAGGAATGTTCTTTTTTT